GCTCACCCGTCTTCCCATTACGGTGGGCATTTTCCGGGATCTTGATCAAGGGCTGTCGCGGGCACCTTTCGGTGTACTGCCCAGCCTAGTTTTGAAGGCGGCAATCTACTTAGCCTTCTACAGGTTTCTCAGGCCCAGAGAGTTCACGATTACCAGGCCGCAGAGTCACTCTCTTGCCAGGAGACAGCTGGTTCGTCACCCCACCTTTTTTTCCACTATGCTTGGAACATTCAAAGACACTGCAACCTGGCAAAAGCGTGGAGGTCAAGTACTTTCCTTCACAGAATGCCTGGTGTCCAGTCAGAGTTCTGGACCAGCTGCTAGCTGCTCTCGGTCATTCCCCTCCGGACAGTCCCCTGTTGCCTTTTGCAGGAGGTCCACTCAGTTCCGCACATTTCATTAGACATGTCCGCATCCTCCTAGCCAACAAGGGTCTCAACCCCGAGCAATATTCCGGGCATTCCTTCAGGTTAGGGGCAGCTTCTGCGGCATCCAGGCAAGGTGTTCCAGTGCACGTCATTAAGCAGTTGGGAAGGTGGAGTTCAGGGTGTTATGCTAGGTATGTGTCTGATCCCCAGCTGGAAATGGCGCAGGCATTCTCCAAACTTCTGCTGTAGTTGTTGCTTAAATAAATTTATCTCCTTTCCTACTGAGTGGTTTTTGCCCCCTTATTGCATACTGACCATAGTGACCGTGGCACACCTCAGGTCAAGGTTAGGTAGGGTCATCATCCGCACGTTACAGGTACGAATCAGTGGGGCTCTGACTACAAGTACTGTTCTTTAAATTCCCTCCACAACAAATTAGTAGGATGGGTTTGTAGAGGGTGTGGAAAATGTTATACCAACTCTTTGGAAATTAATATTATTTGAGTAGGTCAGCTTTCCTCTCACTTTGTACTCCATCCCTTTATGGTGGCCATACCATCCTCTACTCGCCCATCGTGAGGATGGTATGGTTCATATTAATGACCTACATTCTTATCTATACCTACATATATTCTCAGTGAGTAAATAATTATATGTGTGGAAAATGTTTCCCCGCACTTTCACTCCTGTAGTGCTTTCTTTATTCCACATGTCTCCGTTCGGGGTGTTGCTTGGGGGTGACGGGGATATGTGATTAAGAGCTCTTCTACTGTATTTTTTCTGAGTATGTTTATGTGTTCGCTACATATTATTGTGTTGCTCATTGTAACAATCTTCCATCTTATTGTGCCAGAACTGCATCATTCTAATACACCCCATTGGACATATGCTGTGTTTATTTCCTGTTCGGCAATTATGTATTTATTGCTTTTGTATAAACTGACGTATATATCTATATGTATCTTGTTGAATATCATGTATAATGCCTGTAAAACCATGATTACAATTTTGTAACTGCCATTATGTATATTCTATATGCTTTATATGTATCAACCTGATTATCTATATGGCACTTATTTTTTGTATTTGAGCTACTTGCTTTGCAGGTTGACATCTTTGCCTACCTCGGTGTGGGGCGGCTGTTTTTTGTGTTCACTATCTGGCCGGGAATCAGGGGGAGATGCTTTCCATCTAGGATGGGGACATATTCTGGTCCCCCTCCTCCCAGGTTGTGAGGGCATTGTCGTTCCTAAAACGACATGCACCTTTTGATCCCCCGGCCCCTGTAACATCGGAGCAGCATTGAGCTCTCCACTTGGCAGGGGGGGGGTGTCCCTCTAGCTCACCGCTCATTGGCTGGAGGGTGGGACTCTAGGAGGTCACATGACCACCTACGTCACACGCTGCCGCTTATATGCCCGAACGGCGCCGCCGGTATCTTTAGTGAACGGCTGGGGGTGGCCTCACTTGTACCGGCAGCGTTCGGTGTGGGAGGGTGACAGGAGGTTGCTCTGAGGCTCCATCACGCTAAATCCCTTCTTCTTGTCCTGTGTCCTTTCATTGGTGACAAACGGTCCAGCGAGGTCATGTGCGTTTTCTACTACTGTAGATGGGAGGCAGGGTTCTCCTCATTGGACAACCTGCCCTATATGCATGTAAACTTTTATCCCTAGTAGTTACTCCGGGTATCTATATCAATTGAGGGGCGTTTGTGGTGTATAATGCTTGGTTGGCTTAATATGGGGGTCCCAGTGGTATAGTATCCTTTTTCATATATATCTGTTTGGCTTATTGATAGGTGGATCTGTTGTGGTTATGAGGTAATGTTCCTCTCCCACTATACTACTAATACCCCATCGGTACATGTGCCGCCCCAATAGGGACATAGAATATGAGATGCATAGCCTCAGTTAATATTAGCATTGTTATATAGGTTAGAATTTATATAGTGTGATTTGCCTAACTATTTTCTCATAGCTAAATTCATGTGTTATCCTATGCTGCCATCTAGTGGCCTTTTGTTGTAACAAACATGCTTTCTGTAATTATTCCTCATGCGACGATATATTTCCCCCTAGTGTACGCCCTTTCCTGCTTCCTGTGTGCAGTACTTCCTGTGTCATGGCACAGCTACAAGCCACATGTAACAAGGACACACATATAATCTGCACAGTACGTAGGAAAGGCATAATTTTCTGACCGCACAATACTATAACCGTTCAACTGCTGTTCCTATCATCTGCTGTAACCTGATGTAAAGAATAAACACCTCTTTTGAATGAATCGGTATTGACGAGTTCAGCTATCTGACGAGGATTGTCCGCAGTGAGTATATCTGCTTATACAGGCCAGGCATAGAGGTCTCAGCAAGGGATATATTTCGCTATCACAACGATCGGAGTCAGAATAGTACAGCCTCTGACTCCGATTTCCATCCTCCCTCACCCTGGGAGTACGTGTCTCCCCGGCTCGCCCGGCGCGCGGTGTGTACACTCGATCTTCAGATCACCTGATCGCCTACTGGCACGAAACGCGTAGAGAATATTGTTGCCACCCACTATTTTGGCTCCAGATAAGGTTCTCATATCTCTAAACTGTGAATAAGGAAAAGGTCAGTCTCGGTGGGGTCATCAGCGTGGAAGCAGCTTCCCACCCTCCCGCCCCATTGGTCATATTTGATTTGTTGACTTGTGTTTTCTCTTGTTTCTACTTTGTCCTTTTTTCTCTCTGTTTTATCATGTTGTCTTGTCACTGCAGCCGGGCAGGGTATTAGGGTCCTTGAGGTGCAACATATTTGCCTGACGTTTAAGTGACAGTGGGGAGCCGTCTTTGGTATGGCATCCCTGTCTTAACGGGTCCATCACTAGTTACTTAGTATCTGATGTAAGACTACAAGTCACCGAGGCGGTGTTGTGCGGCTGGGGGCCGTGTGGGCAGATACTGGGTATTTTTGGTGATGGATATCACGTCAAGGACCTTAACTCCCGCGGTCAGTTAGTTTGCTACAATTTGTTACAATGGTTAAATTTGCCTTTGGCACTAAATAATAAAATGGCTGCTGTGGCCACTAAAAATCCAAGACCTGTGTCGTGTCATTCATTAATAGAGTTATCATTGAATTTAGTTGTTGGAGGTTATTTGACCAACAGGAGCCGTATACAATGCCCTTGTCATGATTGTCTCCTACTTCTATATTTTTGTCTAGTTCATGTACATCCATCTATTGTATTATTTAGTACAATCATGTTATCACATTCCTTTATCATGTTCAGTAGGACCTTCATCTCGGAACTTAGTGGGTGTTAGTATATCATAAAAAAAGAGAGAAAACATCCCATCAATTGTGACTTTTTTAATTTTTTGTACCAGGTTATAATAAATCATTTATTTTATAAAATAAATTTTGTAGTTCATTGGACCCGTCACTTGGTGCCTAAAAAACCCTTTTTTTTTTCTGTTCTTGCCATTGTTACTTAAAGGAGAACTATGAGGTGAGTGCATTTCCACTCACCTCATAGTTCTAGCCGACCTGTGACAATGAGACTGTCACAGGTCGGCTCAGTAGATCGGGAGGTGAGCGAACACATACTGGCGTTCGTTCACCTCTCGATCATATCACGGCTCTCCGCTGTGACAGGGGAGGGGCTGGATTCCACTCTCCCCGCTCCGATAGCGCTGACTGGCAGAACGGACGGGGGAGGGGCAGGTACAGCTGGCTCTGCCTCTAGATAGGCAGAGCCAGCTGTCACTCACGCAGCTGGGCGGATCCCGGCACAATTGTCGGGATCCGCTTCAGCTGCGGCGTCTCAGTATATAGGGAGCTGTAGCTCGCGGTATACTGAGCCTAGGGTGACGGGAGGACGCTAGTTTGTGTCCTCCCGTTACCCTAAGGAGAACTATGGGGAAAAGACTTAACCCCATGGTTCTCCTTTAACTAGGGGTGTGGCACCTAGCTACTCAGGATCTGTTCACCACAACAAATGTGTTCATGCATTAAAAAAAAGATACTCATCTATACTGTATGTTGTTATCATCTGTTTATCATTTACACATTATCGAAAAAAATAACATTGATTAAAACAGATCAGTCCCTGCCCCCTTTACACACCATATCCAATAGGCTCAAAAGGACTAACAATAGCTGTACTAATGACAATTATAACAGTAAAGGGGGATCAGTCTCAGATAAACACATTTTTACATGCAAAGAAACCTCTAAAAAGAACAGAAATCTAAATAATAAATTGCATATATTAAAGTTGCAGGATCCAAGGCTGTCATCCGGGCTTGTCTACCTTGTGTTACTTACCCAGAATAAGCATAAAGCCAGTGAAGTCTAAACATTCTGAAGTCCTGCATGCTTGTTCCAAGTCAGAGACACACTAGGTAGTGAAGTATAGATCAGGATGAGAATTACAGGCCTCAAGCAATCAATGTTTACAAACAATGGCAGCTCCTGTCTACTGCTTTATCCCCTTGGCTGAGTATTCCATCAAAATCAGGTTCTCCACTTAGCAGTGTCTAAGTAGATCTTTTTACAGCTTAGATTCCCTATCCTGTGATATCACCAGACTCTGGGCAGATCTCCTAAATCTCAGATTCTACACCTTATTATGGTGTCTCCAATCACCGGGAAGATCTCTTACTTCTGATTCCCCCCAGATATCTTTATACCACCTCCCAATACATATAACCCAGCATGGAGGGGCTCAGTGAAGGTAGCGGTGAAGGTGTGGAGGTGTTGGATCGGGTCACACAGATCATAAAAGGAGATCCGTCCGGCCTCATAATCCAAATCTATCCTGACTCTGTTACTGGAGACCTTGCTGGATAAGGGGACCCTTTTCTCATCATGTATTACAAAGTGCTGATTATTCCACAACCTCTCCAAACCCCAGGACTTCTTATTATACCCAATGCCTGACTGAGGCCATCCTCTCCTGTCTATACTGGGGTAACACATCCCGACCCTCCAACACTCTGACCCTGTTACATCCACTTCCCAGTAATGTCGCCCTGAGGAGAAACTCTGCTTGCTTAACACCTGAGAATATTGAAACCTCTCTGTCGTCTCTGGGCGATACTGTCTATCATCTGACCAGGATGCGGTTTTCTTGTCTTCTGATAGATGTAGGTCATTGCCAGCTGTGCTTACATCCAGGAATATGCCAGTGACTCCCGACATCCTTGATGTTTGCTGTTTAACCCCAATTTCCGGTCCTTCAACCTGGCGGTGTGATGGTTGCACAGTGGCGGTAGGTTGGGTGCTTGGCCCGGCTACTTCATCAGCAATGCGAGCCCTCTTCTTTGCACTACAATGTGGATAGACATGTGTGTCTTGACATTCATGCACAAGTACCCCAGACATTATATAAGATAAACCCGTGTGTAATATTTTTTTTATCTCAGCCACATCCAGATCTCCTCCATCATGTAGGAGCTTATCGTGTCTCTCTTCATCCTCAGTGTAACACAAGTCCCCTATGTCTGATTCCTGTAAGATAGTCATTGGATCACTCTTGTTACACATCTCCTCAATGTGACCCATCTTCTTGGACAACTCGTCCTTCTTTATTTCCAGCTTCTGGATCTCTTCAGACAGTGTGTGTGAGACCCTCTTTACCTGCCTTGACATCTCACTAAGGACTCTCTTCTCCAGGTCCTCAAGTTGTCTCCTGAGGTCTCTGAACAGGGCAGTGACTCTCTCTGTCTCACCAGCTGCTTTTCCTTGTACCTTTCCCGTGTGTTCCTGCAGACTCTGGACTCTTTTCTCAGTCTCCCTTTTCTTTGTCATCAGTGTCTGCAGACCGTTTCTCAATGTCTTCTTCTTCATCTCAGAGGCCACTTCCAGAGTCTCCACCTGATGTCCCCGATGTTCTCCAGCCAAACTGCAGGACACACAGATACAGGCAGCGTCCTCAGTGCAGTAATACTTCAGTAGTTCCTTATGGACGGAGCATTTCCTGTTCTCCAGGGAAGTGGTGGGGTCACATAAGACGTGTTCTGGTGACTTGCTGTGGACTGTCAGGTGATTGCCACACAGAGAAGCTTCACAATGTAGACAGGATTTAACAGCAGGTACAGGAGCGTGAATACAGTAGGTACAGAATATCCTTGTCTCCTTCTGAAGTGACTGGCTAGACACGAAATTCTCCACAATGTTACACAGTTTCAGGTTCCTTTGAAGGGCAGGACGTCCCTTGAACCTTTGCTTACATTCGGGACAGGAATAACTACCAGATCTGTTCTGTATATCCAGCATTCCACCAATACAGTTTCGGCAGAAGTTATGTCCACATTTCAGTGTTACGGGATCTTTATAAAAGTCCAGACAGATGGAACATTCCAGCTCGTCTCTTAGATCAGCAGAAGCCATTGCTGACAGCAGAAGAGAAATGAAAGTGAAAGCAATTGACGCTCAACCAGTGCGTCCGGTTTATGTAAATTTGTACACTGGGGGAAGGCTGAGACTTTGACTCGTATTCACAGGACTCCTTATACAGAGAGACACAGATAACACAGGAGGGGGGGGTTATTCTTGATATTAATCTCCCTGAGGAACACAAATGTAACTTAATAACCTGTAGAAGTTTTCTATGAGGAATTTTCCTTCATATCATTAGCACATTTTACAGCCAAAAGGAACACAAAGTAGATGCATTTAGTTGTAATAAAAGTCAAGTCACACAGAGAATCTTTATTTCCTTAAATGCTCTCCCCTCAACCACACCATTCTGGATGCAGAGGAGCTCCTAAGGCGGTGTGTTTTATGGGCATTGTCCTCATAATGGTTGGACCATTCTGCTATGGGGGGCTCCAGCGAGAGTGGTTGGACCATTCTGCGATGGGGGGGCTGCAGCGAGAGTGGTTGGACCATTCTGCGATGGGGGGGCTGCAGCGAGAGTGGTTGGACCATTCTGCGATGGGGGGGCTGCAGCGAGAGTGGTTGGACCATTCTGCGATGGGGGGGCTGCAGCGAGAGTGGTTGGACCATTCTGCGATGGGGGGGCTGCAGCGAGAGTGGTTGGACCATTCTGCGATGGGGGGGCTGCAGCGAGAGTGGTTGGACCATTCTGCGATGGGGGGGCTGCAGCGAGAGTGGTTGGACCATTCTGCGATGGGGGGGCTGCAGCGAGAGTGGTTGGACCATTCTGCGATGGGGGGGCTGCAGCGAGAGTGGTTGGACCATTCTGCGATGGGGGGGCTGCAGCGAGAGTGGTTGGACCATTCTGCGATGGGGGGGCTGCAGCGAGAGTGGTTGGACCATTCTGCGATGGGGGGGCTGCAGCGAGAGTGGTTGGACCATTCTGCGATGGGGGGGCTGCAGCGAGAGTGGTTGGACCATTCTGCGATGGGGGGGCTGCAGCGAGAGTGGTTGGACCATTCTGCGATGGGGGGGCTGCAGCGAGAGTGGTTGGACCATTCTGCGATGGGGGGGCTGCAGCGAGAGTGGTTGGACCATTCTGCGATGGGGGGGCTGCAGCGAGAGTGGTTGGACCATTCTGCGATGGGGGGGCTGCAGCGAGAGTGGTTGGACCATTCTGCGATGGGGGGGCTGCAGCGAGAGTGGTTGGACCATTCTGCGATGGGGGGGCTGCAGCGAGAGTGGTTGGACCATTCTGCGATGGGGGGGCTGCAGCGAGAGTAGTTGGACCATTCTGCTATGGTGATCCCTACTGATCACTACCATTCTGCTATGGGGGGCTGCAGCGAGAGTAGTTGGACCATTCTGCTATGGGGAGCTGCAGCGAGAGTGGTTGGACCATTCTGCTATGGGGGGGCTGCAGCGAGAGTAGTTGGACCATTCTACTATGGGGGGCTGCAGCGAGAGTAGTTGGACCATTCTGCTATGGGGGGCTGCAGCGAGAGTGGTTGGACCATTCTGCTATGGGGGGCTCCAGCGAGAGTGGTTGGACCATTCTGCTATGGGGGGCTCCAGCGAGAGGCCATAGAGAATAATACATGGCCATTGTTTGAACACTGCAGATTGTCCCATTGCAATGCCCTGCCCCAACCATGAAGTGTTAATGGAATTATTTGAATCAGTACAAAAGCTCAGACCTTTTACAGGCGTCTTGGAAGGATCAGAACTGTTTGATAAAGGGGTTGACAGCTGTTGATTGTTTCAATATGCAGCAAACCCCTTAAGGGTTTGACAAAGTATAAACCCTCTTTTTTTGCAGGGTCACCAAGTCTGCCCTGATGAAGGGACCCTGCGTGGTTCTGGAACGTTGGCTATACAATACATGTGACATGATTCTTCAATAAAGAACACTGGGATTTATTTCATCCTGCGAGTGCTGGTGATCCTCTTTGCTGTTAACCTTGTATATGCACTGCGCCATCCGTGGACATCACTGCGAGCACCACTGTTGTTTACAGCACATTTTATTACCCAATAACAAAGTCATTCTAAATAGGTTTATAATGTCCATATATAGTAATTTTACTATCACCATGTCCTTTTATTTATTTTTTTCTATTTCACAGATCCTGTAAATAGTTCAACAGAGGAGGTAAAATGATGGTCAGCGGTGTGAGAGGACATCCATTTTTCAGGACGATCAACTGGACAGTTTAAAGAATGGGAAAGGCACTGCAAGAAAAAAAATTGGAAACGGAAGCGCCACTACCTGGCGCAATAAATGTGGTGGAGCAAGGTATGAATGAAAGTGGTGTACTCACCTGTGGCTGGGTGAGCACTTGCTTGTAGCAATCAGGGTGAGGTGGAGTGGGAGTGGGGCGGTGGGATCAGCCCCTCTCTTGCTGGGTGGTGTTGTAGTACAGCCAGGTGGAGCAGATGGAGACACAAAGGTAGAGTAGCAAGGAGGTGAGGTAGAGTGGTAGGCAAGGAAGGAGTGAACTTCTGAAACTCGAGGAGAAAGTGAAGGCAGGATGTCAGCGACGAAGGTGAGGCCAGTTTTGTGCCTGGATGGAGGGCCGTGGGGTGATCCTCTGGGTGGCTGCTGACACAGGGGTCCTGTCGGAAGAATCCGGTGCCCGGCGGTGAGGAGCGATGCGGTGCCGGAAGGCAGTGGAGCTGCCGGGATGTCACAGAGCATGGCTGCTCGGGAACGTGCTGACTGTGGAGGGGGTTGTGAGTTCCAAAAGGAGCGCAGGTGGACTCACGCTGCTGCTTTCCCGCAGCCCAGTGGGGGCTGTGCCTGTCGGAAGCTTGCTTCGGATGTGGGTAGTGGGAGTGTTCCTGCGCGTGCCGTATAGAGCAGGTCCAATGCTGAGGTGGAGAAGGAGGTGGAGCACGGTGTCCGGGAAGGGTTGCTCACACCGTGTCCGTGGGGAGATAGTGTTCGGAACACTCAAAGTCTGGTGAGACCGGGTTAGGCTGGCGGCGACGCGTTTTGAAGGTTATACCTTCTTTATCAAGCCGGTGTGCAGGGAATGGGAAAGGCACACCCACAAACTGATTCTGCACCAGTAAGTATATGAATAAGAGAAGGGTCCAAACACATTCGAGTAGAAGCGGGATTATAGAGACATCAAGTAAATCTGGTACATTTCCTCTACAAATCCATCAATCATAACCTATATCATACCCACCATGTGCCTGTGACTGCAGGTAACACTCTGGTCATTGTCTAAACGGTGAAGTATCTCTATTCAGGGTCACCAACCAACATATCTTATTAATTCTGGCCATGGGGGCAAACGTCCTTCTGTTGTCCTATACACTTTTGGTCAGTAGTAAGCGCCCCCGGAACAAAAATGTAGCCCCGCTCCAGAAGGAAGGACAGTGTCAGCACCAATTCAGGGATGATTTGAGGAACTACAGCTGAGTGATACACAAAGAGACAACATTTTTGTTAAAAATGCATTGAAGCACCTTAACTATTAAGATTTAAAGGAGAACTATGAGGGGGGGGTGCTTTTCACTCACCTCATAGTTCTAGCCGACCTGTGACAATGAGACTGTCACAGGTCGGCTCAGTAGATCGGGTAGTGAGAGAACACATACCGGCGTTTGCTCACCTCTCAATCCTGTCACAGCTCTCTGCCGTGACAGGGGAGGGGCTGACTGGCAGAGGGGGCGGGTACAGCTGGCTCTGCCTCTGCCTCTAGAAAGGCAGAGCCAGCTGTCACTCACGCAGCTGGGCGGATCTCGACGTCGATGTCGGGATCCGCTCCGGCTGCGGCGTCTCAGTATACCGCGAGCTGCAGCTCGCGGTATACTGAGCTTAGGGTAACGGAAGGGTGCTAGTTTGTGTCCTCCCGTTACCCAAAGGAGAACTATGGGGAAAAGCCCTGAACCCATAGTTCTCCTTTAACCCCTGAGTTTAATGTCACTTTATAGTCCGGCATGATTGGTCTTTTGTAAGTGATTTAGAATTAATAATTTTTTTGATGTAGGTACCAGCCCACCTTGAAGTATTTGGCGATGGTTGAACTTTCAGAAGGAGATTAGTCTGCACTTCTCTCTCCTACTTTACAAACTTCCTTGTGCGGATTATCTCAGACAATCTGCATATTTTACAAAAACCACAAACTGTGACCGATGAACTGCCACTGCCAGTAACTGGATCCCTTAATGATTTACTATATTTGATCAAAGGTAGATGATATCTGTAAATTAGCTGTACAGTGAGGAAGAGTCAGTTGACTTGGAGAGAAATACAACAACGGGTTACTTGAAGAACACGCACCGAAAAGGCAACAACATCAACCGGCCCCAGGACCCCATCTAGGTCTGTCAACACGCACACACAGATGCACCATCACACATAACTGGCCAATTTTCAGTAGATGTAAACCCTAACTGAGTGAGTTAGTCTGCCATGCTGTATATCGTAGACAATTGCCTTTTTTTAACAATAAAATACTTGTTTTCATCCTTTACTACATCTCAGTGCAGCTGATCTCCTGCAGCCACTTCCTATTGTGGCAGTGCAGAGCAATGCCACGGTATAATGTGGCCTTTTTGTCACCTAGGACTCTCAGTTAGAAAGGCTGAGGGGTTTCAAAAATCAAGAATCTTTACAATGCAAGAGCTGGATTTTCAGTTCTTAGCAGGTTTTCTGGATTCTAGTCAGGACCTTGGAGCCTGGAGAATTCAACGAGTCTTGGGAGGGGATGAAATCTTCAATTCTGGGTTCGGGTGTTGCCAACTAAAGGCATAGGCTGATCAGGTGGCTGGAGACGGCCTTATTAATGAGGACTGGAGTAGACTTTAGTGCTAGTGGTGTCTACATGTACTTCAGCAATGGCTGCATGAAATTTCTCAGGGAAGGTTTCCTGAAAGTGACAACAGTGGACCATATCTGTGTAATGTGTGTTGAAACAGCAACTTGTAGTTACCATTGGAAGCCCATGCAAACCGAGTGACGAGAGATAGGGACAGAACGTTGTCATCCTATAACAGGAAGTGCCTGAACAAGGCCCTTTAATGGCAGGACCACCAGGGGTTATTTTAATGAGGGCGAACTAAAAATATTGAAAATTACTCTTGAAATGACATTAACATGTTAAAGTGTATATGAGATTTTAGTGATTGGGTTTTCCTCGAATGCTACAGGAGTCGATAAGTCCCTTGATGTTATAAGTAGAGTGACAATTCACATTTCATGCTATTTAATAACTTTTTTTGGCCATGTGCAAATAATACCTGCTGCTTATAAGCGATCCCATGTGACCTAAAGCCTAAGCAACCTAAATCACAGTCTTTTTCTACAAGTTTCTGGTGGTAAGAAACTTCTTCTCACTGTGGCTTTCATGTCCTCTTCTCTACCACATGCGTTCTGAGATTTTGTGTTAAAAGTCAGCAGATATACTTCCTCTCCACACGTCATTTGACTGTGCTATCAATCTCATTCTTGGTACCCTTTTGCATAGAGGTTGTATCTATCCCCTTATCTGTACTCAAGTTGCAGGCCATTTATGAACATTTACAGAAAGGGTTCATTCGCAAATATACGTCACTGGCTGGTCCCGGATTATTGTCTCCAAAAAGGAAAGTTCACAGAGAGCATGCATTGCTTATCCTGGCATAAATGTTATCACCATTAAAAATAGCTGTAAAATGATGACTTTGCCTGATGAAGGAACCGACACGGTTCTGAAAACATTGCTTTTCACTGTGATATGACCTTCCAAAGTCAATGTAGGATTGGTAGAGCAAATCCTGGGGTGCCGGACTTCTTCATCTACTACTGATTAATTTGCGGCACCATCCGTGGTCACTGCAGTGGTCTTTATTTTGCCACATATGATGTATTATAGGGTTTTTGTTAGGTGATCTCTTTCCTGCTGTGTGATGGGACACAGTGTTCAGCTTAAGTTTAGTTAAAGGAGAACTATGGGGTCAGTGCTTTTCACCATAGTTCTACTAAGGGTCACGGGAGGACACAAACTAGCATCCTCCCGTGACCCAAAGCTCAGTGTAGCTTGCGGTATACTGAGACAGCCGCAGCCGGGACGGATCCCGACATTACTGTGTGGATCCACCCAGCAGCGTGAATGACAGCTGGCTCTGCCTATCTAAAAAGGTAGAGCCAGCTGTACCCACCTCCTCCCCCGTCCATTCCGCCAGTCAGCGGTGGGGAATCCCTGCAGGGAGCCGTGAGTGTCAGTCAGAGCTCTCTGCAGGGATAGATTGAGAAGTGAGCGAGCGACTGTATGTGTTCACTCACTTCCCGATCTATTGAGCTGACGTGTGACAGTTTCTTTGTCACACGTCGGCTCGAACTATGAGGCTGAGTGATTTTCATTCACCTCATAGTTCTCCTTTAAGTTCATATACATACGTGGTTTATTGTGATGGGAATGTTCATATATGGTTGTATTATTAGGAAACAAGGTTTGCTGTGTTGTTTTTTCCCTCCTTCATGTGATGTGATTTAAGCTGGCGATATACTATACTATTTTTTTTTGGTTCAACCCATTGGTTGAACAAAAAAGTAGAACAGCTTCCTCCATCAGAGTTTCCGAGCGTTGATCAAGGAATCCCCACTGTATATTTTGTATGTTGACAGTGGCCACTGTCAGAATACACAGACAGAGTCGGCAACTTATTGGCTGCCAGCACCGTACTATCAAAAGGTTTTACAACTGACTTCTCTGGGATCAGCTGGTTTAGGGATGGCGGTCAGAAGGGTGCCAACAGCAGCCTCCAGTTGTTGGTTGCCATGGATTTTGTTTCTTGACTTGGAGGACTACAGAACCCTGACATAAGCTTCTCATTCTTGTTAATTTTGATATTTTTGTGTTGTGCTCTCATTTGGGAACCTTAAATTCCTCTTCTATTTTGGTTCATAATTTAATTTGTCTCCCCCCCCCCCCCTCTTTCTTTCCTCATCACCCTTCCTTGTCTTTGTTTTTTCTATATATTTATTTGTTCCCTTTACTTTCCCTGTCCTTCTATGACGTTATACCTACCCTTTACACACTTTTTGAGATTGTCCTATGTCACATGTGTCAAACTCAAAGCCCAGGGGCCAAATCCGGCCCACCAGGCCATTTCCTAGACTTCTACTTTCAGATCTAGGTATTAAGTTATTACTAAAACCAGTGATAATCGATTGCAGAGGAAATGATGATAAAGATTAGATACATTTATATCGTCTTACAGATACCTTTGAGCGCAACCATAATGTTGATGCGGCCCACGATTAAATTGAGTTTGACACCCCTGGTCTATGTGGTCAACCCAGAAATCTGGGGCTAGCAAGCGGCGCCGTTTTCTTAATATGTCTTTGTGATCACTCTATTTTGCATTGCCACATTGTTATATAGATGGCTGTTATAGCCTCTGTCACCTAGGTTGCTATTTAACGCATACATTTTGGGATATGGTCATCTACTCGGGGGGCAGGATTTTGGATGTGCTTGGTTTATGTTATGTTTGTTTTACATTGCTTTGCTCTATTTTGTATGCTTTTATATACCAATAAAGTTGGATTTTTTTTTCTGTTATGTACAGGGAGGTAACATGGCAGATTACCACATCCGACTCTACCAGGACTCTGATTACGACATGGTGAGGGACATCTTTGTTTGCGGCATTACAGAACCTTACCCTGCGTCCTTCCGTCATACATTTAGCCTTCCCCGAGTTTGGATTCTCATTCTTGCTGTGTTCCTGCTTGCCCTGATCACCACGGGGTCTCCTATAGTCTCATTTATAGCTGTGATCATGGTCATACTTGTCCTATTGCTAATGAACCGAGCTATGTTCTTTTTCTATGCCAGGAGATGCCTGGCTACTGACATGTTGGATATCAGGAAGAATTATCTCCAGCGGGATGGTTGTGGTTTCTGGGTGGCAGAATCAGCAGGAGAAATTGTGGGCATAGTGGCGGCTGCCCCATTTCCCCATGGACAGAACCAAGTGGAGCTCAAAAGGCTGTCGGTCCCCAAGAAACATAGGGGTAAAGGCCTCGGCAAGGCTTTGTGTAAGACTGTCATTGACTTTGCACAGAAGTATGGCTATGAGGCCGTAGTCTTAGAATCTTCAATTTTCCGGAAGGATTCCATACGACTGTACAAGAGGCTGGGCTTCAGGATCACCGGAACCTATCATCAAAATCACTTTTTCTTAAAATTTATAGACTACCTTGACATTGTTTTCCAGTACGATCTTTCCTAACAGCAATAGGATACTATGCCTCACTCTTGTCCTGTTGCCTGGGATTCCATCCTGTCTATTTCATAATCAGTTATAATCATCTCTCCTCCAAAGTCCCTCCTACAATTAGTTTGTCTCTTGTCTTTCTTTACACTTGACTATAGTACATCAAAATTGACATTTCTGGTAGATGACGGGAAGAGTTATGTCTTGGACATTTTTGCATACTTGATGGTGCAATGAAATGGAGCATCTCAAAAACATAGAAAGCACCTCCTGAAACTTGACGATGGGAATGGATCCATGACCAAGAGGAAGATCTGACTTCCAAAACACTCCAGCATTATAAGCAGATCATTAATTTCACTTTGACTGTATGAGGAAACAATAGAAATATAGGAACTTTTATTTTTGACTATTTGCGTGTTTTACGTATACACCTTGCATTGTCATATGGCTCAGCATTGTGTTGGTCATGCATTCCTGCCAGCTGTGGCCCCCTAAAACCTTGTGCCCATCTATTTCTGAGATCTGGGTGACCACTGTTTTCCCAAAGATAAGATACCATCCCTGTTAGCAACCTGCCATTTGTATGCTAACAAATGTGGAGCATTGGTCACTGTGTTGGAGAGGGAATGGCCATTAATGTGAACAGTAGATTTTGATTATCCCCACCCAATGATGCCCCACTGACATAAATGACATTTCAGGAGCACCTAAACACTCAAAAGATTGCACTGCTCCCCCATAGCACATAAGTAGGGGAAATCAAGATGTTCACTGGCTGGAGCTCATCCCCATTCCCACTTTAGCTGCCGTCAAAACAATAAAACATCCGGCCGCACTCCATATGTAGCTGGAAACTTCAGGGCCACCCCTCCAACATGTTTTACCTAATATTGGGCTTAATCGTAGAGCTGGGAGGGGGGAATCCAGTCCCTCCCCTGTCACTGCAGAGAGCCGTGACAGGATCGAGAAGTGAGCAAACGCCGGTATGTGTTCTCTCACATCCCGATCTACTGAGCCGACCTGTGACAGTCTCATTGTCACAGGTTGGCTAGAACTATGAGGTGAGTGAAAAGCACTCCCCTCATAGTTCTCCTTTAAACTATGATTGGGTGAAGCGCATCAGAGGGGCAGACCTTAGGTGGGACTTTGTGTAGCCGCGTGATTAATAAAAGAAGTTTCCAGCAACGTGGAGCACGGCCGGGTTTCAAAAGCACCCGTCAAATTCCCTAAACTGAAAACAACAGAATGTAGGAAAACCGGAACGGTGTAGCATGGAGCTTGGCTGCACATTAATGAATTCCCCAGAATTTGTATTCAATGCTTTGCACCAGCTTTCTGGGGGGTATGGAATCCCCAGATCCTGCAACATATTAAAAAAAGCCCCGTCACCAGTTTCGATAGCTTTGCAGGCACATGATACATCAGATAGTTTTTAATAGCGCCACCTATACAAAGTGGCTCTATGACTGCACTAAATGTAAAACATATTTACCTCTATTTAGTAGCTAACAAACCGGGAGAAAAATAAGGCTAACTCTGGGAATTTAAAGTACATACCCTTGCAGTGGGGCTACCCCTGCACTGCAAGGGTTAAGTGCTCATTTTGTCTAGGGGGGCTAAAAAACCCCAATCACCTGATCCTCGGTCCCATGGCGGTCAGTGCTCACCTCTTTCCCTCTCTGCTTAGGAAAAGTTATGCCTTGTGGTCCATACAGAGCGCCAAAAAGTCAGGACAATCCGAAGGGAATTATTAACCCTTTCCCTGCCAGTAACGCAAGGATTACAGCAGAACAAAGACATTCCCAGCTTAGTATGCCTTCGGTCGTCGGCACTCACCCTTCTGCTATAAGCTCATGGTTGCTTCAGAGACCATAAGCATATAGTAGAAGCGTCCCCCTGACTGCTGTATGCAAATTAATACCTGTCACCAGAAGCCGACAAGCTGCTAATGACAACTATCCATCGTTAACCTATTTTCTATTTTTACATTTAAATTTCCCGCCGGTTCCGCCCCCCTGCGACGCGGGCGCTCGCAAGGGACGGAACCCAGAAGATGGATGCCGGCATCGGCCGGAGGACACAGCGGGGCTCGTGGACAAGGTAAGTGACGCACAGTGTAATCCCGAGTGTGGCTCGGGGTTGCTGCTTTAGGTGCTGAAAATTAACCCCGAGCCACACTCGGGATTACCGCCACGAAGTTTAATCCAACCCCTCCTGTGCCGCCGTCACTGCTCCTGCCTCTCTATCCTCCACTCTGTATCCCCTCCAATCCCCACTGATCTCCCCCACCTGAGGCAGTGGGGATCGGAGGGGGCACTGAAATGATCCAGTAGCCAGCACCAAAAGGGAGGAGAGAGCTTCAGGAGGAGAGCAGCTCCAGTGACAGACAGAAGGGGGCGGAGCTTCAGGATGCCAAGCGGAGGATCAGCAAAAATGTTTAATAAGACATGTATAAATCTTTTTTAATACCGCAGTCATGCCCTGTGACCCTAACCTCCTCTCCCTAGGAGATTTTTGACCTTAATAACATCTTTCAACTGTTTAAAAGTGATTGGTGCCCATCTTTTCATGAATTCAACCCGAGATAAATATTCAGCCCACCTGACCTCTGGGGGTGCCTAGTTCACCTCCAGGGGGTAAGGGGGTGCCTGTTATGTGGTGTAGTAGTGAAAGGGAGCCTGATCAGGTGTAAGACTCAGTGGCGTCCGGTGGGTATTGGCAGCCAGTACTTCTCCCTCACTAGTAGAGTCAGAAACAGGAGGCAGCAGCTTGTGTACAATGCACTACTAGTGTGTGTCTGTGTTCTGGCCTGTCTGGCTGTATAGGCAGACAGCCTGACCAGACCATGAACAAATCCATCCAGCACCTGATCCCGACTGCTACTCAGGGCTACAAAAGTTGGGGTGAGGGATTCCTCAAAAAAGTGGTTGACACCTCATAAGGCGCATTGTTGCATTCATATTGTGCCTTGGCCCATGGAATACCATTAAAGGAGAACTATGGGGTCAGTGTTTTTCCCCATAGTTCTCCTTAGGGTAACGGGAGGACACAAACTAGCGTCCTCCCATCACCCTAGGCTCAGTATACCGCAAGCTACAGCTCCCGGTATACTGAGACGCCGCAGCCTGAGCGGATCCCGACCTGGACGTCGGGATCCGCCAAGCTGCGTGAGTGACAGCTGGCTCTGCCTATCTAGAGGCAGAGCCAGCTGTATCCGCCCCCTCCCCCGTCCGTTCTGCCAGTCAGCGCTAGCGGATCGGAGCGGGGAAGGGGGAATCCAGCCCCTCCCCCTGTCACAGCAGAGAGCTGTGACAGGATCGAGAGGTGAGCGAACCCGGTATGTGTTCGCTCACCTCCCGATCTACTGAGCCGACCTGTGACAGTCTCATTGTCACAGGTCGGCTAGAACTATGAGGTGAGTGGAAATCACTCATCTCATAGTTCTCCTTTAATAAAAAGGAGAACAAACAAGCATCTGTGCTGAAATCATATACAGTATATATCACACGCACACACGATCCTTGAATAGAGGCAGTAATAAGGCAGTAATGTTTGTTTTTATCCTGCCCGCACAGCTGCATTGTCACTAAGCTTTTTGCAATGACATACAGCCAAATTCCATGTGCCAGACGCGGCGAGCAGCAGCTATGTTTGCATCCGGCTGGCATGCGTACAATGCTGGCTGCTGCGAGCGTCCTGTGGTGCCAAGCCACCCCAGCTTTTCGCTGCACATGCATAATAGGAGTGCGAGTCACACAGTCGCTCTGCAGGGGGGATACGCAGGAGTCATCGATCGTACCGGCCGGCCGGCCGTTCTAACTCTTCCACATTTACTTCCACAAGTTTTCACTGCTATCTGATGAACTTTATGGCAGCCGCAGGGCACTCATTGTTATGCAAACAACATCAAAGGTAATTATATGGTTTCATGCGTTGATGACTATGCCAGCTACTGTTTATTCTTGTTCTGCATTTGAATTTGACATGGCGGGATGTGACATCATTATGACATCATGGGGGGAGCATGTTTGATGGTTTCCAATTGGTTATTGCACTTCGGTAATGTGTATTTAACTCACACTGGACTACGACACTTTGTCATGCTGAGGAAGGGACCCCGAGTGGCCCCGAAACATTGCAATGTGACAAGATGTGTGCAAAAATAAAATGATCACTTGCTAAAGGTTTGACCGAGGTGTGCTGGTGATATATTTTACTACTTGAATCTGAAGCAGTCACTAGACCCACTGTAAGGGACATGCCAGTAAGGAGTGCAGTAGGACTATTAGGTAGGTTGACCCCATTTGTCATGAGGACTAGATGTAAGGGGGAAATCCAAAATTTTGAATTGTCACCAGAACAGCAAAAGAAGGGAAATATTCCAATGAGGCCATTTGTTTTAGTGACTAAGTAAACGAAACAAAAAAAAACCAAAGGAGTATAAATAAAAGAACATCGAGTTTACAGGTCACTTTTATCTTCAGCAGTGTTCATTATGTGCCCAGGGAGAGAGGTGACACGAGGATCATGCTTATGCTCAGCCAGGAATAGAGGTTATATAAGGACATTAATGTGGACAGGAAGTCTACTACTAGTCTTAGAGTAAATGAGGCAATGTGACAAATAAATGAAACATTAATCAACTGCACATAGAGTGCATGTCATTCAACTAGCTTTCTCTCTGCACTGTGAATAGAAAAATGACTCTCTTTTTGGTCTAGATCAGCGAGGACGGACCTATGGCACACGAGCCCAGGGCCAGATTAACATTGAGGCACGTGGAGCTCCCTCTCCAGGCCTGCCCCTGAAAATAGGCCAGACTGTCCTGGATCGCCTTGGTATATCCAATGGCAAGCTGGGCTGGCCACAATCAGGCATATTAGATGGCTGGTCACTGGGGCCTCTTGGAGCCCTAGCGAGAAGCCGTCTAATTAGAGAGTCGGACTTTGGTGAGATCGGTACAGACCCCCTGAGAGCCCACAGGGCCCACCTAAGAGCAATGAAGCCCCCCC